TATTGTGCTGTGGTTTACAGCTAGGCTGTGATTTGTGTGCCTTTCTGCCCCACATTACATTTAAATAGAACCCAAGCTTTTCATGGCGTGCTTTTAAAGGGACAGTGGGTTTATTCTTTTTCCCTCTCAGTGGGTCCCGGGAAACCTACACGGGGGCTTTAAGTAATCAGTGGTTTGGTATTGAAGGGGTTTAAGTAACCTCTTTCTTTGACTGAAAGAGTAAAAGACAGTAAACCTGACCTCCCCACTCCCTCCCTTATGGGGCTCTGGATCCCACAGTAGGAATTACATTCACTGAAGAATATAGGGAATTGTGGTTTGCCTAAAGTAATTTGCACAGGATATGGTAAATTACATTTAATCTATGGTGAATTACATTTCAGATTTCTGAAGCTGTAGCAAGACGGCTGAAAGGGCAGGCAGACCAGGCTTATACAGCCACAGGTGAGTTGTCTTTAGGTGTTAATTCTGTCATTGAGGTGACAGTTTTAAAAGCGTCTCATAGTAGTTACCAGGGTTTGAATTCAGCTGCAGGAGATTTAGTTGTAGACCTTTATTTTGACACAGAATAGTATCTTTTAGAAAGCAATGGCATACTAGTGAAGATAATAAAATTGTTTAGTAAAGCTGCATACCACCGCCATCATCATCCTTTTGTTCCTTTCATCTTTTACATAGGGCTTACTGTCTAGTCCAGTGGCTCTCATCCTTCCTAATGCTGTGACCCTATACTACAGTTCTTTATGTTGTGACCATAGAGATATTTTTATCGCTACTTTATAGCTTCAGTGAATATGTGTTTTGCAATGGTCTGTGGAGACCCCAGTGAAAGGGTCGCTTGACCCCAAAAAAATGTTGCGACCCATAGGTTGAGAACCGCTGGTCTAGCCCTTTATTTCACTCTGTCCAGTGCAATCCTGTTGATATCATGGATTGAATCCAGTCCAGCACCTTTGATCTCTGTTACCACCGTTCATCTCAAGATTTATCTGGGAGGTTCTTCTATCCTCAGTCCATTTGGTTTCCCTTTCAGCACAGTCTGAAGATAAATGATAAAGTGGAGAGTGACCAGGGGATCTGGCCAGTATTAAGAGAAAAAGCAAGACTTACATATAATTAGACTTTTACTGGTTCCATCGAAACTGGAACTCTGCGCTGGCTGCTGAAGATGGGGACATACAGCATATGGGAATATACCAAGTGCTGTGATGTCAGTGCCTAACTCAACTCCACAGCTGCTTGCTGGGGTTGGTTAACAAAGTCTCGTAAAGGATATGCAACTTCCTAGCATGGGCAGCAGGGCAAACAGCCGCACATGCAGTATTTGTATCAGACTCCATGAACATGTTTCAGAAGATAGCAACAGGCGGTATGCGCTCTGAATGGGAAGAAACCATTTGCAAATCGCATTTAACCTCCCTCACCAAGACCTACATACCTGGTCATACTGTCGTAAAGGGTAATGAGCGAGCAGACCAACTGGCAAACAATGCACAAACGCATGTGAAAAGAAGCATTGACAGAGTGGGAACAGTTATTAGAAATACCCTGGAGTGGTTGCTGCATTGGAGGACTGAGCACGTATGGAAATGCCTAATGTGCAGTGACGTCGATTGTGATAACATAACACGACTTTAGTAATAATTTGTGGTTGTGATACACTGGTGTCTACCCAGTTATACCAACTTAAGTAACAGTTTTCAGAATTTTCTGAGAATTGTTAGGGAACGAAGAAACAAACTTTATTTTCAAATGGTTAAGAATTGGGCACACAGGCCCGTCCTACATTCTGTCCTTCTGGCCTCACTTTGTGCATACATTATTCCATTCACACATTATATTAGCAGACAATAATAATAATCATAATAATAATAGACATCAACAACTTCTTAGTTATAGTGTGCACTAAGTTTACCTACATTTTAAAAACAACTATAATACTAAATATAGTAAATCTTGGTGGAAATCAACAAAATGCTTAGGATACTTTTATATTCTAAGAGGACATGCAGTCTGTAGTAAGATAATATTCAGGAAGCTTCCAACTGTATTTATAGGGGTTGTTGATAATTTTGATTGGCTGTGGAAACTAATCCCACAGATGAGCTGCAGAGTACGACAAGCTTGTTTTGTACAAGTCTTAGGGCTGTGTAATATTTTTAGACCTTTGCTGTGTCGCCCATTTTACTTAAAGAACAGCAAAAGGAACCAGGCAACTCTACCATGCATGTCATGGCCTAAAATATGTAAAAGCCTATCTCTTCACATCATAATGACAGTAACTGCTAAAGGATTAGTTTTATTTTTCTAATAATATTCTAAGACAGTCATTAAATCAGGTAATCACAGTTCCAACTCAATAGTAAATGGATCATCCCATAGTTGCTCTATTGCTCTGCCAGCAAAAACCACACCAAATGCCTATCACTGCCCCATGATAAATATGTGAAATAGACTAGTCATGGCAAAGCCATTAGGATACACACACATTAAATGCATAAGGCAAATGTTTAAAACGGTTCATCATTGACAGAAGCAGCAGTTACAACAGATCAGCAGTTGCACATACGCTATCACACAAAACACTGCCATTCTGTGGCAGTATGTAACTTGTTATTTTCTGAATCTACAAAAAAACCACATTGAGCACAGTCGAACGACATTCCAGGTTTAATCTGCAGCTCACAGTGTCACCCCATGCACTCAGATCAGTAGCTGGATGGTGGAATTATATATTTTCAGTTCACATGTGAGGTGAGATGCAATAGCTAACTGTAGCCAAAAGAATTTGCCAAGGCTAAAGCAATAAGCTGGACCAGAAGCCTGTTATCTAGCATGCATTTTCATAAGGCCGGGTTGACGCCAGAGTCCCATACAGTCCAACAAAGGGCCTACTTTTCTTCGTTAGTGGTATGAAATGAGTACCATCTTCAGTCCATATTTTTGGTGCAGACAGTGAGATAAAGAGCAAGAAGGCTGCCGGATGAGACTAAGAGAGAGACTGTTGTGCATCATGACATGAAGGAACATCTGAAATACAAATGACTGTCACTGTATTTGATAGATGGCTCTGGAGAGACATGATGACCAGCCCACAGTGCACTTTCTGCACCAGAAAACTGTTAATTTTACTCATTCTTTGTAAGCAGTTCATATTTCAAACCATAAACTTTTGAATTTAAAATATTTCAATATGTCTATATGACAGTGATTTGATTTGGTTTGATTCAAGAACCGACATCACAGCACTTGGGGCATTCCCATAAGCGCTCCGTCCCCATCTTCAGCAGCCAGCGAAGAGTTCCGATACTAATGGTGTCAGTAGCATTCTGATTAAACGTCCGTCTTGTCTTTCATCTGAGCCTCCAGCATCTGCCAGAACCTTTTGTCACCCCCAGCTGCATCAATCTCACCAGACTGGTGATCCATTTGCTCCTCCGAATTGTACACGCTCTCCCACAAGGCACTAACCACGTCTGCCCTATCATGTATCAGTATTCCACCAGGTTGTGCAGAGCCAGCCAGTTTGTCCGCTAGTTCATTTCGAAACACATCTATATGACAGTGAGAACAAAGAGCTTTAGTGTAACATTAGTTTTTTTTTTTTTTTTTTTGACATCTGTTTATTTGGAAGAGGGCTGATCAGTACATTATCCGTTTATATAAATATATGTATACACACACAGTTTTGTAACAACAGACTAGCACATCATTAGTTAAAAAATGAGTTAGGAAGAAGACAGTTTTTGAAATTCTTCTTCTTCACTTTCTCTTTTACCGCTGTGAGTGTTGAGGGAGATATAAGGTTCTGTTTCTAGCTTTTCTGGCCGCCTCGACTAGAGGCACATCGTGCTGTTGTAGAGTTTCTCTGATGTTATCCTTCCATCTTGTTCTTGGTCTACCTCATGCTCTACGTCCTTCTTCTCTTTCCATGTATGCTTTGTATGGTATGGTGTCACAAGGCATTCTCTCTAAGTGGGCAAACCATTTCACTTGCTGTCTTCGTATGTAATCCAGAATTGGTTCTGTGCCGACTTTTTCTCTTATGATCTCATTCCTGATCTTATCTCTTATGGTCACTCCTACAGCCCTTCTCAGACATCTCATTTCCGTGGTTACTAATTTTCTTTTATGGTTTGTTGTGAGTGACCATGTCTGGCACTGGTAGCACAGAGTTGGAAAAAATATGCTTTGAATTAGATGTCTCTTTGTGCTGATTGGGATTGTCTTATGCTGTCCAAATACTTGGTTTGCTTTACTGCATCTAATGTTAATTTCTTTATCCAGTTTCCCCATCTTCAGTAAATGTATTTCCCAGATATTTAAACTCAGATGCCTGTTTAATGCCTTTGCACTCTATTGCTATGTTTAGATCTGTCTTCTTTTTTCATGTTGACATTACTTCTGTCTTTTCAGTGTTGATTCTCATATTATTTGTTTTACATTCTTCATTCATGGATGTTAGATGTTGTTGCAATTTCATGGCTGTATCTGCTATCAAGGCCTGGTCATCTGCAAAGAGTAATTCGTTGATCTTACTAACATTTTCATTCATGGGCTTGGCATTCTTGCATATACTGTTGATTTAGGTGATAAACAGCAGTGGTGATAAGACACACCCCTGTCTTACTCCAGATGTTACTGTGAATGGATGAGATATTCCCTGATTTATTCTAACTACACTTCTACAATCCCTGTATAAACTTTTGCACACTTCGATGAGGTGTTCCCTTACTCCATATCTTGTTATTACTTCCCATTCACTGATGCAAAACAATTCTGTGGAATAGGAAATTCCCACTGGGGGATGATGCACCAAATGTCAGTGCTAGTACAAAGCTAGTTGCCATGGTATTGCTGATGTTGTGGGTACTCACTGAGCTGCATGCCACTGGGGCCACTCTTTAGTGTGTGTAGCAGTTTTTGCTATGCCATCAGCTTCAAGTCATCATAGACTGCAGGAGCTACCCATCACATGCTAGAATCAGCTTTGATTAACAATGGACTCTTTAGATGGTTGGTTAGCTTCAGATGTTGGTTATTTCAGTTCAGGGATGTCATGTGTGTTACCGTTTACTAATTATCAGAATGGCCAACAGAGGCAACAAATGCCTCAAGAGGTGCAATGTTTCAGTCCATTGGTGTAAATATCACAAACCATGCTGTAAGTAAGTACAGTTCAAGTACATCCTCAGCTGAATGAAGAAGAAGAAGTGTAGATAGTGAAATTTTTGCCTCTTCTGTCTTTCACTGTCATAAGCAATGCAGATTGTTGAACCTTTCTCTTGATAGTGTACTAAGCATACACTTTTGTCTATTTGGAGTGCAGATAATTAATTTAGGACAGAGTGTTAAAGGACTATAAAGACATGGAGATTTAGGCTCTCCTTGCACCTTTGGACGCAAGCTGGACGGCTTGGGTCGGCTTAGTAGGAGTTCTCTGCCTTGGCCGCATTGACAACAACGAGCGGGAAAAAGTCACGAATCAAACAAGACAGTGAGGTCGACATCAGGGCTGCCAATTATTGGTTGTGTCCCCCAGATCTGGGTTTATCTTTTGACACTGTGGAGAAATCTGGGGGTTTTTTCTTTTTTTGGGGTGTTTTGCCGATCTGTATGCTTTAATGACCGATACATTTGCATGGATAGGATTAGGGGTAGCGTTAGGGATAGGGTTAGGTTTAGCGTTAGATGTGACAATTTTGACACCGTAGTTCCCTATAATCGCGCACAGTCACATACACACCCAAACAGTCGACGGACAGTTGGATGCTACTGACATGGACAATTCGCCACCGATTGGGCACCAGCCGCGCGCTATTGCGGTCATATTTGGCACACTTCCAGTGGCACCACTCCCACAAGCATCAGATTGTCGCCCAGTATTTGGACTTTCTACATCACCATTTTCACATCTAACCCTACCCCTAACCCTATCCCTAACCCCAACCCACACCCTACGCAACCGTATGATGGTGATAGAACCCTACGCAGCCCTACACGCAACCGTATGATGATAGGTAACCCTAGACGCAACCGTATGATGACTACACAACCCTACACGCTACTGTACGCAACCCTACACGCACCCGGATGATGATAGGTAAGTATGTCATTTGATTCGTGACTTTTTCCGCTCATTGTTGTCAATGCGGCCAAGGGAGAGAACTCCCACTAAGCCGACCTAAGCCGTCCAGCTTGCGTCCAAAGGTGCAAGGAGAGCCGAGATTTAATATAAGAACATTACAGCCTCTTTACATCTGATTTTGTGCCTCCTGTATATCATTCTAGATTCATATTTTTAAGGGCCAATCAGTACACAATGGGTTATTTGATCAGCATCACGTTGGTTGCTTTTACTTGCCATAACAGACTGGAAGCTAGGATCAGTTTTTTTAAAATCTGTCTGGCACGGGTTTGAGCCAAGACCTTCAGGCCAGTAGGCAAGAGTTTAGCCACTGTGCTTCCACAGCTGTGTGTCAGTGGGTACTGCTACATAACTCCTAAAAATGCATAAATGTACAGTCGCTAAGAAATATTTGTAGTTGATTGGCGTATTAGAAAATGTGTATCAGTCTGAAAAACTGGGCATGATAGAACAGCAAATCAAATGGTTTTCCCAGCTGGAGAAAATGCCTTCTGATGCTATACCATACAAGGCATATACCAGAAGAGGAGAGGGACCTAGAGCAAGAGGTAGACCAAGAACAAGATGGAAAGATAAAATCAGAGAAACTCTACACCACCACAATGTGTCTGTGGTCTAAGCAGCCAGAAGAGCATGAAGCAGGAACTTATATCTCCCTCGAAGCGGTAAAAGAGGACGTCAAGACGAATAAGAAGATAGAACATATTAACTGCTGCACTTTGATTGGTTTCTTCCCCGTCTTGGCTTATCTAATATGTTTTTTTTGTTTTAGTTGTGGTAATTTCTTCTTCTGAATTCATCCAGTATGATTTTCTATTTTGGTTGTGGTTACCTCCTGCTTGTCAAAACAGAACTATGGCTTTTGGCATACACCTTTGACTGGTTTGGTCATTTGTTGACAAAGTTTGCACTCCCAGCTCTGATGGTTTGATTCTGGTTTCAGGTTGTTTTGAGATCTTTTGAAAGAAAGAAAGAAAGAAAGAAAGAAAATGGCTGATCAAACTTAAAGTCCCAGAAAAGTAGAATAACAAAATAATTTCTGCTTTGTGTTTGTTTACAGTTACGCATATATCAGCCTGGATTGTGTTCTTTATTTAAGACATGTTCCTTATTTAATATTGCTTTTGTTTATTATTTATTGTTTTATAAAGGGATTTTGGAATTACAGAATTTTTTTTCTCTTAATTACAGATAGAGAAAGTCCACCACCTGTAAGTACTTTACATGTTTGCACACATTTTTTGTTTATAGTCGCTGTTTTTCGCAGGAAATAATTACCTTATTATAGGTAACATATAAAGGTACGAACGGTTGAGTTTTTCTTGAGGGAAAACATATGAAAACAAAACATTTTATACAATAGAAGCATCTATTGTTACCTCTGTTAGTTTTACTGTAGACTGGATTTTAAAGATCTCAGCTCCCTTTGAAGTTGGAAAATATCTGCCAGATAGACAAGGAACCAACGGTCTGCACACAAATAAGCTAGATATGTAAAATGGATGTACATGCAACACTCGGGTCCTGGAACAAGGTCAGCGTCCTGGCATGGACTGTCAACCATCATTTTCCACCAGAGTTCACAACCAGCACACACAGAAGAAGAGGGAATTCAGCAGACCTGAAGTTGACAATCTCAAATTCGTTTATGATATCTTCCTCCTTTCCCACAAAGACAATCAGATGCTAAAAAAATTAAACACGTTTGATGGGAGATCACACAACAAATAGGTCTAAAACTTGTTGGAGAAATATAAAAATAATAAGAATTAACTAGTAAGAGATTAATCCCACTCTCTGATGTGGAGTCAGTCATTCACCTCTTTAGGCAGTAATATACATAAAGATGGGTAAACAGACATAATAATATTAATACAAAAGACCAGAAAAGTTTTCATAGGACTAGTAAATCTGTGGAAGTTAAAGGAAATTCAAACTAGTATCAAAGTGAAAATATTTTCCCATTAGTACTTTTGTGTGCAGCTGAAATATGGAAAACAACTAAAACAGTAATTAAAAAAAATTACAAACATTCATTTACTGATGCCTGCACAGAACATAAGTAATTAAACATGGCAGAGTCACTAAGGTAGAGCTTCTGGGAGAGAACTAAATGAGGTCAAGTGAATATAGAGATTGGGATTAAGCATGCACTGAGAAAACCTGGTAACACTATAACTGGAATGTCCTTGCACTGGAAACCCCACAGGATGAAAGGAATAAAGACAGGCTAAACACATGACAAAAAGGGCGAAGGTGTGGTAGTCTTCCATATCATAAAAATCAACTAATAAGGGTTTGTTGAAAATGTATTATTGTGCTAAAAGGCCTCTATATCACAGTCTAGATGTAATCCATAGCACACCAGTCATCCTTTAAAGGGCGAACAAAGGACAGTGAAAAAGAATAATGGTACAAAGGACAGCTGTACCCCTAAACATGATCTAAGTTGGGGTTCTGGGGCCCAGAAGGGGGGGGGGGGGGATAATGGACTAAATGCCCCTGCTCAACAAGCATGTCTTGAAATAAGACTAATTGGAGTTTCTTTTTCCTTCTTTGTGTTAAAGTTGCAGTGTATTTGCCGGAAACACATGCATAACACAATAAAGTTTACAGTAGTGATGCAGACAGTGTATTGCACAAGTTATTGCCTGTCATATTTTTCCGTAACCCCCCCAGGTTCATTACTTTGGAATGGTGATCATGTGGGAGACAAGCCTTGACTACCCAGAATTTACAGGCACATCATATGGGTTAAAGTTATGGTTGTCAGCTGGTCATAGGAAACTGTCTTTATGGAAACAGACTTATATGGAAGAACAACCTCTTCACTTATATAGACAGTTTGTATAATTACTGTTGGTTTTTGAACAACATGCTTCTCTGTGTAAGTTCTGGGGTCCCATTTTGGGAGGAAATAGAATGGACCCACCATCTCCTAACAAGCGTATTATAAAAGATGAAAAATTTCTGAAATCAGACATGTTGGGCCTAAAGGTGTAGATGTCACAGCTTAGATGTATACCACAACACAGCGTGCCAGTGATGCTTTTAAGATAAATGCAGAAGAAGAAGAAACATGTCGTTCTGCTAGAATATATGAGACGCTATAATTATACCAGATCTTAAAGAAGCTTCAACATTCATTTACAGTCTCCCCCACAGACCAGAACCTTTGAGCCTGAGCCCAAGCCTATTTTACACAAGAACAAGGAGGTGGATGAGTTTTATTTCAATAAGCTCCAAGACCTCCAAGAACGGGTATGTGATTTTATTGTGTATCAGAGTAAATTAAAGGACATTTTCCCCCAAGTTTCCTAGTATCAATTTTAGAATGGGTTGACCGGGGAGCAATGATTAATTTTTAAAAAAATCCCCACCTCATCAAGTGAGATTCACACACATGACCGCCAGGTGAAACTGGAAGGATGCTTTTGTTGTGCAGGCACTGCTTCCAGTTCAGCACGTCTATTTAAAAAGTTCAAGGGCTAGTTTTATTTAAGTGGTTTAATTCTGTTTATCTGTTAATCTGTTTGCTAACTTCATGACCTAAAATGTGAAGAAAAGAAAAGATCAGGGCACTCAGTAGAACACATATTGTGGATGCTTATTAGTAGCTTAACTAAGAAGCCAATATTTGGGAGACCCACACATAGACTGGGAATAGAATGGGAGACAGGTGAAGAATGAGGAAGGAATATGAATGGAGCTTCAAGAGGATGTAAAGCGAAAGAGGGCTTGGCATAAGTTTATACAGTAGTACCTCGACTCAAGAAACACTCTGCATACAAATTTTGTAAGCACAATCTTGTTTTCTCTATTTTGACCTCTACATTCGAACCTGGATTTAAGATGGGAACAGTGATTCATTGCACGCGCGCTCCTGTTTGTCATTACTATGTCACATATATCTGTCATACAGCACAACAAGTTGTTTGCGACACCTGAAAGGAACTGCCCTGGAAGGACCTGAACCTGAAAGCAAAATTCATCATCATCAGTTCTGGTTATGCCTAGTGGCGCATGGGGCTTCAGAGATGACTTTCCATGCTTTCCTGTCCTGTGCAATCTTCAGTGCTGTTTTCCATGTCAAAGATGCCGCACTCAGGTCACTTTCCATCTTTCGTCTCCATGTTGTTTTTGGGCGCCCCTGTTTTCTCTTTCCCTCTGGTGTCCATGTGAGAGCTGTTTTGGCAGGTATATCAGAAGTCATTCTCATAACGTGGCCAAGCCATTTCCATCTTCTCTTGGTAATCACACTGTCTAAAGTTTCTTGGTTTGTGGCTTGAAGTAGTTTAGTGTTTGAGATTGTATCTGGCCAGAAAGCAAAGTTGACATTGTAGATACAGTTGACTCCTTGGCCAAGACCATACATTTGAAAGTTGATGAAGCAGACAGAGAGAAGCTGGCAGACTAAAATAACGTGGATCTGATCACTAAAGAGCAAGAGTTAAGAACCGCACAGTCAAAAGTAAGAGACAATGAGAATAGCAAATGTCTTCAGATAATGAAGACAGCAACAAACATGAACCAGTCCTAACAAGTGACATGAACAAAAATTCTTGCAACTTTAGAATAATTAGTGAAAAAGTGGTATCCAAATAAAGTTGTTTTCATAGCCACCATTGTCCTCAGTGACAATGCCAATAATCGTTTAAGAAGGGTGTTATTGAAATAACAGATGCAGACAGTGTTAAATAGGTTTTTTTCTTTCTTATCAAAGAAACGGAAGGAAACCACTGATGACAAGTGATAAGAGGATTTTAAAAAAATATTGAAGGGAAGGTTATTTCTATACTACATACATATGTTTCTTGATCCATTTGTTTGCATTTTTCTAATTTAGACGAGAGTATTTCTTCAATTTTTTTAATTGTGTTAATTTTTAATCTAAGAGCGGATTAATTGATTTCTTATAAGATGTAACGGGAAAATGGGTTTTTGAGATACAAATATTTTAGATATGAACCATGATCAGGAATGAATTGAGTTAATTAGTTAAGATACAACTGTATATGGTCTATTCTACATTGGAGGATATATTCTAGAAGAAAGATGAAGTATTTACAATGGCATAAAGGGATAGTGGATTGTCAGTAGCAATAATGTATCGTTTGTAAGATAGAGTTTGGCAAGGAGGTATCTTACACATGATTATCATTATAACTATGGCCTTGCGGTTTACCAAGTACAAGAAAACAGTTGATGAACGTGTTTCTGGGTAGTTTCTTTTGAAGACTTTCTTTTCCCACAAGTTATGTACTAGATTGTTGCTGATAAGTTACGTAAATTATTAACAGCTAGTGAGAATCATCAAACGCTATGCATACTTAACTCTTTGAGTCCCAAGGAATGCACCTACCTAGAGGCCCAATGAACGCATGATGCGTCAATTTTACGTCTCTCTTGACTACCCATTGGGCCTGTGATGCTAAACCCACTGGGATTCAAAGAGTTAAGCCTTCTATGTGATGTGAATAGGTCCTATTTCATGGAAACAAAAACGGTCTAATACAAAGGTTCTGGAAAGACTATGGATGAAAAGTGAATTAGGGAAATAAATAAGAAAAGAGACAGTTGAAGTACTTTAGCTGCATTAAAAGACATAACCCACTTTCTCAAACTATTCTGGAGGGAAAAGGCATGCGGTATGACAAAATCAAGAAATGGATGAACAGCAGTATAAGAATGTGTACAACCAAAACAAGAGACGCAACTGAGAAAAATCAAAACAAGAGATGGAGAATGTTTGAGATCTAATGCAGAAACCTTCATTTTGGAGATGGCAGCTGCTTGATTGAGAGAGTTTGTTGCCGGCCATTGTCTTTACTGCCTGTATTTACCACTTTTTAGGTACGGATAAAAAAATGAGGGGGGGGGGGTGTGTGGTCTTGAACCTGAAGAATTAGGACTGTATGGCTTGTGAAGTTTTAACTGCGAAACTAACAGGAAACAAAAGTTGTCAGTTATCTTACTGAGAATTTGAACCTTCATCTCCTATGATGAGAGTAGGACAGTGTAACTGGGCACCACATGCTCCTCAAATTTATCTGTGTGCGTGTTATGATCTGGTAGTTATTAGTTGTTATTTTCTTATTTGATTTATTTTCTGTTGACAGAATGCAGCTTTGCAGAGAATTACAAATGAGCAGTTTGCCAACGCTGTGAGGGAAGTTGAGCAGAAATTTCTGTGAGTGAAGTGTTTACCTTTTCAGCTGTGCTTGTTAATTTCTCTCTGCAAAAGCAGTTGTGTGTTTTATAAATCAAAGTGGCTGGCTATGCTGTGAGTTGAAGAAGTGATCTGGCTAGGGTTATCATCACCTGTATGTTCCCATCAGCCTAGGGTTATCATCACCTGTATGTTCCCATCAGCCTAGGGTTATCATCACCTGTATGTTCCCATCAGCCTAGGGTTATCATCACCTGTATGTTCCCATCAGCCTAGGGTTATCATCACCTGTATGTTCCCATCAGCCTAGGGTTATCATCACCTGTATGTTCCCATCAGCCTAGGGTTATCATCACCTGTATGTTCCCATCAGCCTAGGGTTATCATCACCTGTATGTTCCCATCAGCCTAGGGTTATCATCACCTGTATGTTCCCATCAGCCTAGGGTTATCATCACCTGTATGTTCCCATCAGCCTAGGGTTATCATCACCTGTATGTTCCCATCAGCCTAGGGTTATCATCACCTGTATGTTCCCATCAGCCTAGGGTTATCATCACCTGTATGTTCCCATCAGCCTAGGGTTATCATCACCTGTATGTTCCCATCAGCCTAGGGTTATCATCACCTGTATGTTCCCATCAGCCTAGGGTTATCATCACCTGTATGTTCCCATCAGCCTAGGGTTATCATCACCTGTATGTTCCCATCAGCCTAGGGTTATCATCACCTGTATGTTCCCATCAGCCTAGGGTTATCATCACCTGTATGTTCCCATCAGCCTAGGGTTATCATCACCTGTATGTTCCCATCAGCCTAGGGTTATCATCACCTGTATGTTCCTATCAGCCTAGGGTTATCATCACCTGTATGTTCCTATCAGCCTCTGTAGTCAGTTGGCTAGGGTTATCATCACCTGTATGTTCCCATCAGCCTCTGTAGTAAGTTGGCTAGGGTTATCATCACCTGTATGTTCCTATCAGCCTCTGTAGTCAGTTGGCTAGGGTTATCATCACCTGTATGTTCCCATCAGCCTCTGTAGTAAGTTGGTTAGGGTTATCATCACCTGTATGTTCCCATCAGCCTCTGTAGTAAGTTGGCTAGGAAAGTCTTATTTGTTTTTGCTCAGCACTTTATCAGAAACATTGAATATTTTGAAAGGGAGCTGCAGTAGCCTTAAGTCACCCAAAGATCTAGGGTTCAAATCCGTATCCTTTCAAAATTGACATTGGCTCCCAGGTTGACGGTGCTAAAATGGGTCCCAGGTAATGGCGTTAGAATTAAATATGGCTGGCATGATATTTACCTCATCACGTATTGAGTGCAGATTGGTCTGCATGTAGGTCTCTCCCAATAAACCTGATATTCTAGATTGGTGAAAAAGAATTTTCAGGCATTTTATAGGAATCTGAAACAAAAGAAACTATTCAGTATGTTTCAGTTGTGTAACTGCACATGTCTTATAACAAAAGTAAAAGTAAGTAAAGATCCATTTTCAGGCCTTTAGGTGCATCGGGCATATGGGAAGAGCATATTTTTCACACCTATCGGCACTAGGTTGGTAATGTTGTTAGCATTACACCGGCCATCTGTACTTCCCAAGGACATACATCTTGGTACCCACTTTAGGCTGGGTCCACCTGTTATGCCCCATACCATGATAAAAATCCATGCAGCCAGCAGTGGGTTTCAATCACGGGTCTTATAACAAATAGTGTTGATAATGAACATGTTATTTGTCTCTCAAATATATTTAGATAATATATCTAAATTAACCATTTTTCTCTTGTCCTCTGGTGCCAAAATATAGAAAAGTCACAGCTTCTCCAGTGTGCCAAGATCTGCAGGCCAAAGTGTTAGAGTGCTACCAGTCAAACCCAGGGCAGGTACTCAATTGTTCGGCCCTTGTCAATGCATTTTCAACTTGTGTAGATCGGGCAAGAATGGTGAGTAGTTTTACTTCGGTATGGTGGTCTAGTTGGCGCATTCACATGGTATCTGTACATGAGATAGAGGAAGAGTGTATGTGAGAAAACTGTACACATGTAGGGTGGGTAAACATTTTTCAACTGTCACATTTAGCTTGATTATTTTTTAACTGTGACCAAAGTTGCACCAAAAGAGGTAAATGTAGTCTTTCACTTATAGCTCAACTTTTTTGTATTGCGATCAGCCACATAGAGTTGACCAAGGTGCTACTCCACCTCCAGATCTGCATTCCACCTCAGTCTGGCTAAGAGAGTAGAGATTGAATGGGGAAGATCTGGGAAATCTAGTCTGAAAATGCTTGTAAAAAAAATCTGTTGACTGAAAAGCTCAAATATTGCAGCCATACTGTGAACCGACACAACCCATTTACATTCTTGGATGTGTGAGGAAGAAGAAGAGTTGGGAAGACTGACTTGGTTCCAGACACTGTCCTACCGAAGTCAGATATTTAGGTGTCCGAGTATGGATATTGTAATCTCAAATGAAGCACTGGTTGGCCAGGACAATGTCTTCTGTTGAGACCACATCTCTGCCACATTTATTTGTGGTGCCATAAAGAAGACTTCAGAGTGTATCTTACAAGATTGCCCAGACTTGTCCAGTTGAAGAGAAATCTGGCCCATAGTAATAGCTCTGCCAGACAAATCATGTGGTGCCAGTGAAAGCTTAAGTGAAGTGCCCTGTTTGTGGTTTGTGAAATAGATACTTACAGGGTTCGTATTGGGCCTCTCTGTATACCTCCTATTCTCTTGCTGTGGCTTTTTATCTTTATTTGATTCTCTCCCTCTGTCTGCTTCTCTGTACTACCACTCTGTCTATCCCTCCTTTCTGTCTGCATCTCTCTCTGTTTGCATCTCCCTCTTTGCCTGTTCCTTCTGTCTCCGCTGTCTCCTCCCATCTCTCTCTCTTTGTCATCTTTTCCCTTCTCCTATCTTTGTTTCTTTTCCTTCCTCATCTCTTATCTGCCCATCTGCCTGTCCCTCTTTCTCTGTCTGTCTTCCTTTCTGTCTTTCCCACTCTCCCTCATCATCTTTCTCCATCCCTTCTCTCTATGTGGCTCTCTGCCTCTCTCTCTCTCTCTCTTGCATTTACCAGGTGTAGAGCAGAACTTCAGTTTGCTCTTCTCTGCTACCAGGTCTAGAAAAGGTGTTAAAAAATATTGAATGTGACAGTATATTTTTCTGGCAAACCAAGCAAGCAAGCCACATGCACCATGGTCTCTGGACCATACTGATTTTTACTGCCTCTTCAGTCTCATAGATCAACTAAAGTCATTGATTGGTCTCAGTGCATTCTTTATGTTTCACTGTTAGAAGTGTGCATAGGGAGAAGGTTTTTGGATAGGCACATTTGTCCAGACATATTATATGTATTACATACCAGGAATTGGTATTATCCCACATGGAAGAAGAGAGGTTTGTGGAAATGCTAAAACAATCCAGAGATGAATGAGTAGGTACTTAATTAATTTTTCTTTGAAATATTCTTTTTCAGTTTTTTTCGGAATCATTTCTTCATTTTGTATTTTAAAAACAAGAATATTTTAGTTTGAATTGTTTAAAATTGTTGAGATAGGAATAAATCATACAGAATTGTTGAATTTAGTTTATCTTTAAAATATTTATATAAGACAATTTTTGTAAAGTAAAATGTGACACCGCAGGAAAAATAACAGTAAAATGCACTGGTTTATCATAGTTGGCCATGTTTAATGCCTGTTGTAATAAGTTTTTGTTTCCAACTTCATACATCAGAGGTCTAAGTCCAACAGTTGATTCACAACAATTGACTTCCAGGTGATCTGATGATCTATACAGATAGTTTGGTGTTTAGAGAAAAAAGAAGTGTGTGGTGGTTCATAACGAAAGCCATTGGAAGATCTTTAGTGCAAGACGCCTGGGCATACGACACCACAACATCTAGCATGAAAATGGAGGTGGGGCGGTAACTGCAGCTCTCCGGTGGCTGGAGAACAAGATGCACACACATGTTGTAATTGTAACAGACTCTGAAAGCATGCTGAGAAAGGTGAAGACAGGGATGTTTCGAGCAGAGTGGCAAGCTTCACTGGAAAGGTCACGGGTAGTGAGCATACTTTGGATCTTTTCTCCAGGCCATGCCGGTGTCATGGGTAATGAACAGGCAGACAGAATAGCTGGATCTGCATGACTGGGTGGTGAATTGATACATGAGAAGGCAGATGTGGTTAAGGCCTTTGGGAACAATCAACGGTATCAGTAGAGAAAGAAGATTATTATGGGCTGGAGAGAATGAGACACCTGGGTGTAACCAGAGGAAAGGCAAGACAGACATATAACCGGATTGTGACCGGTACCATCAGTATTGAAACTCTGCACTGGCTGCTGAAGATGAGGACGGAGCATGAGAATTCCATAAGTGCTGTGATATAAATTTTTTGACTAAACTCAACTGAACTCAACACAAAGTGTCAATCAATCAAGTATCGTCTCGACAGGGAAGATTATCTGCAGTAGATCTCCAACAGTCTTGTGAACTTGATGTACGCTCTCTGAAATGTCTTTTGTTAATCTCTTGATGTTATCATACTCCTGTTATCGCTGTCTACCTCTTGTTGAGTTGCCTTTGGTTGTTCCTTTTAGTATAGTTTTTGTATTGACTAAAGATCACCCCCCCCCCCCCCAAAAAAAAAAATAACCACCTGCAAATTGAGATGTTTGAGAAATGCCATGACCAAAACTAGAAGAGATTCTGTGAGAAGCAAAGAAATTACAACTGTTGGAATAACAATTATAATTAAATTAAGTAAAAAAAAAAAGAATTACATGAACAGACTATTTAATGAGAATGAACCTAATAATGCCAGCAACGGGAGCGTACAACATGAAAGTAGAAACACTAAGAGATAGGTGACGACCAAGAAGAAGATGGAGTAAACATGTCACTGATAACTTGAAACTTCACAGCATCATAGCATAGCGGTCAGCTGAGCATGCCCTAGCTCAGAAACCGATCATCTGTTAACCTGTGATGCCTAGTGGCACAAAGCAGAAAACAGATCCCCCCCCCCCCCCCCAAATTGGTTTTTAAAAGGGTATCATTTTCTGAATGTAGCCATAATATTAATTTTTTTTTTAATTTACATTTCTCTTGCTCTTTTCATTCCTAGTCTTTTCAGAAACCTATGTATTTGGTTTGCTTTGTTTTCTTGAAATACAGTTTTTTTTCTGTACATCCACATCTTCGGAGACCATTCCATTGTCTAATTTGCGTGTTTATTGTCCATGTGTATGCGCCATACAGTAGTGTTGTGTACATAACATTTGTCATTTCTCATATTTAGTCTTGTCTTTGTGAATGTGAGGAACTTTCATATGTATGCTGAAAATAATTTTAGCATGAACCTATTCTTTTTTTTTTTACTTCTGTTCTGCTTTTGCCATTATCTGGTATTACATGTCCAAGATAGGAGCACTTTGTTGCTTATTCTAATTTCTTACCAATTATTGTAATGATTGTTACTGGCTACTCCTTTTCACCGTTAATTATAGTTTGTTTTTAATAAAAGAGCTAATTAATTTTTAGATCCAGGCTCAGCACAAAAACTGTTCACTTGCTAGACTAGGTCTTGTAGCTTTTGCTGACTTTCTGCAAGCAACATTGTGACATTAGCATATCTCAGATTGTTTATTATTCTTCAGTTGGTATTCAGTCCAGATAGTTGTCTACCTTGTTTACAAATGCTTTCTATAAAAGTAACGAAAAAGTAGTAAAGCACCCTTTTCCGTGCGTTTATTCATGTAGGGCATTTGGGCTGTATTTTATGGACCAATCGGCATAAGGTTGGTGATGTGGTCAGCATCATGCCAGTTGCCTTTGCTTTCTGGGATTGCACCCGGTACCCACTCAAGGCTGGGTCGACCTGGGAGCCAATGTCCTTTTTGAAAAAAGTCAGGCTCCGCCAGGGAGCAAACCCACAACCTTCCGATTCGCAGGCGAGCGTCTAGCCGCTGTGCCATGGTGACCGCCCTAATGCTTTCTGTAAATTAGTTACAAAGACTATATTACACATTCCTGTTTTACTCCTTTTTAATCATTTTTAAAATTGAAATCTGTCCGTAGTGAGTGTCATCTTTAACTATTGCTACTTGTCCACATTATATTTCCAATAAGTCTGATATCTTTTCCATCTAATCCAATTTCTTGGAGGCATGATATTGGCTTTTCATGATGCACTCTGGCAAAGTTTTCCTATAATCTGTCAAACATGCATGAATGTTTTTTTCTGAACGTCTGTATATTTTTGGTCAGCTTTCTTAGACAAACTATATTTCTCTATTCCCTTACTTTTACAAAACCCAAATGACATAGTGGCTATGTCATGTCATAAAAGTTCCGCAATTAGACCATGGGATTTCAGTACTGATGTTGACATCACAAATATTTAGTATGCTTTCAAATGCTGAGGGAGTCGCCTTGGCTTAGCAGCTAGATGCTCGCGTGCCGATTGGAAAGTCGTGGGTTCGCTCCTTGGTGGAGCCGGGCTGTTTTAAAAAATGACCTAGACTCTCAGGTGGACCCAGCCTTGAGTGGGTACCGGGTGCAGTCCCGGAAAGTGAAGGCGGCTGCGTGATGCTGACCACATCACCCATCTTGTGCAGATTGGTTTATAAAATATAGGTCTAGCCCTATATGCCTAAAAGCACAGAAAAGGGACCTTTACTTTACTTGATACTTTCCAATGCTGATCTCAACCTTTCTGCAATTTTTTCATTTATTCCCAATCTCTCTGTTTTTCCCCTCCACACAACAGGTCCATGGCATTGTGTTCACACAAATCTACCTCAGTACCTGTATCATTTGTGTCCTGCTTGTACTCATCTTTATGAGTAAAATTGACCAAGTTCTGAGATCACAAGTCTGATGATAGACAAGAGTGTTCATTTTAATCATGAGCTCTCTGCTTTCCCATACTGATATTTATAATCTGCTGAACTCTGTTGCTGCCCTAACCTGTCCTAATAATTTCTTAGTCCAGTGAAAGTTTGGTATTCACTGCAGATCCCATATACAAGGAAAAGGTTGTCTCCAGCTCTTCACCATCAGTGTAGACTGCAGGTTTATCAACACCTTGCAGCATAATATTTGTCTTCTTTTTGTGCTGATTTTTAGTCTGACTTCACAGCATGCATGAGCAGATACAGATAGCAAACATTGCACTTCCTCTTCTGACTGGGTAGTTATTGCAGCATCATCTGCAAATACAGCTCTGTGATAAGTACTTTCCTTATCTTGGTTATAGTTTTCAGCCTTGTTGAGGCTGCCGTCAGGTCAAATGTGGGTGAATATACCACCCTCCTAATATTGAAAAGTACATCAGATACAGGTTATAAATCGACAGTGGAAAGTGCTGAAAAAAATATTTTCCTAATATACCATCCTATAATTTTTTCTTCTTCTTTTGTTCGCTTTTTTTTTTTGTCGATCACCGGCTGTGAATTCCAGTGGAAGGTCCCGGTTAATCGTCCGCTTGGACTTTTGGCTTTCACCTGGACCTGATTTTTGCGTGTACAACCGTTTTTCATTTCCCTGCCTCATGGGCAGCTGTACTCCGACTTCGAAGGAAGACGTCAGGCCTATTTCTAGGTTGACTGTGGCCATTGTTTTGTGTGGGTCGAGACGTTGCCTGATTTGTGTGGTGTCCACTTTGTCCCCTTCGCCGCAGGTATTGCCCTCGGAGTACCCCTTTGGGGCAGCCCCCTGTGGAGAAGTTAGCCCTCAAGGGAAGGCAGGGGCAGATCATGAGCATTCCCCGCCATCCAAGGAGGCTTCCATGCATGCAGAGTCGGCACATGGCGCTCTGGTTCTGGGCTCACCCAAGGAATCGTCACGTCCTGCACATGCCTGCTTAACCTCACAACCGTATCAGGCCTCCCGCTCGACAGGGGCTGCGCCCTCTGGAAGTCAGCGGGGAGCAGCCCGTGGGTTTTGGACTTTTGTCACCACACAGATAGGTACATTCTTTTTTTTTCCTCGCACGTTAGATTTCTTTGACGAGCCGTTAGCCCGACAGAATTTTACATCCTGCATCAGGCATATCGTTATCAGTTTTGCCCCAACACTCGGGCGATTGGGGTCTTTGGGTGTGGACATTCGGTCTTTTTCGGTTCAATACAAATTTTGATGGTCAGATTTTGATCCGTATGATCTAGTTTTGTCGGACAATTAGGCTTAGCCATCCGATGGTTGGTTGCTGTTGTGGTGTACCTCAGCGCGGTGACGACGACACTGAGGGTGAACAGAGGATGTGCAGTGAACAATGTTCTCTTTACTCCGCAGTCTTTTAACCAAGGGTTGTAATTTTGGCTGTAGGTTTGGCAAACCTACTCATGTTCATAATGAGTTTTGGTAACATTTTTCACCCAAGCGTTTGGGGGCGGGCTGATGAGAGCCACAAGGACACATCACCTCTGGGGGCCGCTGAACTCCGAGATCCCCTGACAGCTCTGTTAATGCTCATTTGAGACATTATCCGTGGCGCACGACGAGGACGTGCTGTAGGGGTCTTGCGTGAGGTTCCATACAACCAGGATAGTAAAGGACTGGCGCCCGAGTGACGTACGGAGTATCTCCTTATACACATCATGTTGGGCTTAACTTCCCCTCACGCCTGTGACATAAATCACCGCGCCACTTTTGTTCGCTTGAAATAAATCATCTTTATCTGCAATGCTGTCTCTATTATGAACTTCACTCTTTTGTAATTCACTTAGCGGCCCATACTTAAATTGTGTGTACATTTGGCTGCAAAGTCAATTCTGTCCTTTTCTGAGGCGTGGAATAATGACTCTAACTGGTCTGCCCATAATATGGTAATCGTCTTGTGCCAGTTTTGATGGCTTCCCTATTTATTTGATTATTCTCTTCTTCTGTTGATAAGCGGCTTTCTGATTTATTTGATAATTCTCTTTTTCTGTTGATAAGAGACTGGTGCATGAGGTTGTTTTTTTGTTACACCTTTCTTAGCTAGTTTATCAGCTCTTTCATTTCCGGATCATGTAATTAAAAAGTGAGACAAGAGTTGAATCTTCTTATTCACCTCTTCTTTCACCACCTTGAGGAGTGTCCAGGGAGATAGTGAATGTTGAATATTTTTGGATATTTCAACTCAAATTTGACAGAGTTTAATACATCATTTAATGTTAGCTGTTTGCTCCATGCTGTTTATTTAACCATACACCTCTCACTATCTAAACAAAATGGCATGTTACTTGTCTGCTGATCAGATAGTATAGCAGTTTTACCACATCATAGATGTATGTTGCCTGTTTGGATCATGTGCATTTTTGGGGGGGCCATAATAAAATAATTTATTATTTAATTGTTGGACGGTGTATATAACTGTATAGCTTCCAAGGGAGCTCTCAGATGTTTTGTTAAAATTGACTGTTTACAGTTTGCTTTGATGTAAGTTGCTGTTTAATTGTCCGTTAATATTCATTTTCTTTGGTAATGTAAATATTTTTGTTGGACCTAATTTTGATTACATTCCTTACCTGACTGGTTATATTTAAAATATTTGAAAGCGACACTACTGTTTTTTTTTTTTTTTTTTGGACCTGCCTTTACCACATGTTTTTGACCTCCTTGCACACGTTTCAGACTAATTTGACTCATTTCTGAGTTTAAGGCACAAATTTCTGTTTTGATTCCCTGCACACCTGTTTTTGACTGTCAAGCTCACATGTTTGTCATTTGCCTGTGCATGTTTTTGTGTCCCTGCACTTGACCGCCATGCTCATATGATTCTGACTTACCTATCCACATGTTTTTGACTTTCTTGCACACACATTTATGACTCTTCCACATATATTTTCCTGACTCCGTTGCATACATACTCTTGCCTTCCATTCGACTAAAGAATGTGACAAGAACTAACTTATTCTGTTCATGTTTTGAAAATTGATTGATAAATACATTTTCTTTCCTATTTAGGCTGCTGCTGCTTCCAGAGTGCAATTAGTGAACTGAGAATGTTTCAAGTTTTGTTTCGTGGACCTGAAAACATCTGTGTGTGTGACAAGTGGACCACACAAACTTGTTTATGTATCAGGAGAACTCTCTGTGCATATTTTATATTTCTAAGTAATTTCTGTCAGATGAAGTCGGTTGTGGTTACGTTTTGCTTGAGATGTTTAGCCCCTTTAGCATTCACAGTACTGGAATTATAATGAAACATTGTATGGAGATTTACACTGCATACTTTGGCCGTAACTTACTGCCTAATGTAGTCACTGAAACTGAAGTTTTTTTGTTTTTTTTTTGTGTGGGTAATTAAACAATGGGTGACAGTTACAATTGTAAGTGGATGCATACTTTAACTGTGACTACGAGTGTCAGCTTACTGCAGTCACTGCAATATTTGACATTAACTCCTTTAGGATGGGTAGACAATTTTGTTTAACTAACACATTTAAAATGTCACTTTTAGAAGTTGTATGAAAACAGATACTATAAGGTAAAATATTTGCAGTAGTTTAGAATTGATTTATTGGGTGAAGAAGTTTTATCAATGATCCTTATTACTTTTTATTTGATTATCTGAACCCTCAGCCTATCATAATAGCAACTAATAGGCCTGATATTTAAAGTGGGTAATAATAAATGTATTTGTTTTTACAAAATTTCTGTCTTATGTTCCTTTTTTTTTTTTTCTGGTATTCTGTTAGAACTTGTAAAACATTCTCCAGATAGCCATGGCTTTACAGAACTAATGCACTTTGACACCTGTAAAAGGTTGGGGCTGTTGATAATTGATGTAAGAAAAACCTACTTCCTGGATACAGTCACAGTGTATCAGTCTAGGTGTGCTCATTACACCCCCTGCATGAAGCCCTTGGTAAAGCTGAGGATCACAGATTGAAAAGAGGAAGGCCTTGGATAGTATGATCTGAAAAAAACAACCTGTAAGGTCTTTGATGAGGATTACATAATTTTATTATCCAAATCATGCTCACTTTGGTGAAGTTTAGTGGCTGTATCTTCTAAGTGTTTCAGTTGTGGTATTTCCAGGAGCTAGCTGTGACAACAGTTCTTGGAAGTCAGGGCTTCATCCACTGGGAATTTTTCAAGTGTTAGTTATGATGATCATGTTCACTTTGTGGTCTGTAGAGGGTTACATTGGTCAGAGTCAAAGAGGTTTAGTTGTGTTCAGATGAGTTCTGCTGTAAACAAGCATTCAATGTGAGAGAATATTAACAGCTGTTATATTCAATATGTGATAAATAAAATAGTTTCTACATACACCTTTTTAGAGGTTTTACTTCATGTCTATTATTTGTAATTGTGTCTGCCTCCTTGGTGTTTATTTTACTTTATTTATCATTTTATTATTCTTACTTCATTATCTGTCTCATGTCACTTAATTTTACTGTTTTCTTTCACTGCATTCTTCTGTCTCTCTCTCATGAAAAGACATTAATGTCTGGTGAAATAAACAATACGTTGAAAATAATAGTCGTATATTTTGAGAAATTAATGTCTAGAGAAATAAATATGTTGAAAATAATATATATTTTGAGACATTAATGCCTAGAGAAAAAAACAATACGTTGAAAATAATAGTCATAGATTTTGAGAAATTAATGTCTAGAGAAATGTACAATATGTTGAAAATAATAGTCGTATATTTTGAGACATTAATGTCTAGAGAAATAAACAATACGTTGAAAATAATAGTCGTATATTTTGCATATTCAACCGAACCATAGGATGTAACCATGTGGACAGTGGACTAGTAATTCTTCTTCATTATACTGTGCCCTCAAGGTTCATTGGTGCAGATAGCACCTGCCTCTATTCTTTGTCTGCCCCTATTCAACTTTTTTGTGTTTGCAATTTTTGTCTCTGTTACTTGCCACTCTCTCTACAGTATTTGACCTAACCATTGCAGTCTATTAGTCGTCATGATAATAGCAATTAGTGGTTATTTAAAGAGATCACACATTTTTTTTTTCTCACTCTCCATTCTCCGCTGTTTGCACTTTTTATGTGTATAAAGATTTGTCCCTCAGGTTTCAGAGCCATTTAGGACCATTAGTCTTATCACTGTTTTATACACTGTAATCTTGGTATTCTGAAATATAATAATTAGACAAATAATTAGAAAGTCAAACTGAGGTCACATAGATGTACAGAAAAATGGGCTGTTCAAATATAGGGATTTTAGAGACTGAGTAATATATGACTTGACAGCAGATACAGCCATAAAATTGCAACACCATCTAACATTCATGAATGAAGAATGTAAAACAAATAATATGAGAATCAACACTGAAAAGACAGAAGTAATGTCAATAGGAAAAAAAGAAGACAGATCTAAACATAGCAATAGAGTGCAAAAGCATTAAACAGGCATCTGAGTTTAAATATCTGGGAACTACATTTACCGAAGATGGGAAATTAGATAAAGAAATTAACATTTGATGCAGTAAAGCAAACCAAGTATTTGGACAGCTAGCCCCGCTCTTACAGCATAAGACAATCCCAATCAGCACAAAGAGACATCTAATTCAAAGCATATTTATTCCAACTCTGTGCTACCAGTGCCAGACATGGTCCCTCACAACAAACCATAACAGAAAATTAGTAACCATGGAAATGAGATGTCTGAGAAGGGCTGTAGGAGTGACCATGAGAGATAAGATCAGGAATGAGATCATAAGAGAAAAAGTCGGCACAGAACCAATTCTGGATTACATACGAAGACAGCAAGTGAAATGGTTTGCCCACTTAGAGAGAATGCCTTGTGACACCATACCATACAAAGCATACATGGAAAGAGAAGAAGGACGTAGAGCAAGAGGTAGACCAAGAACAAGATGGAAGGAAAACATCAGAGAAACTCTACAAAAGCACGATGTGCCTATGGTCGAGGCGGCCAGAAGAGCTAGAAACAGAACCTTATATCTCCCTCGACACCCACAGCGGTAAAAGAGGAAGTGAAGAAGAAGAAGAGTAATATATGTTACTGAAAGATGATCAGTGCCTGTTCTACAAAGAGGGGATGGATAAATGAATCAAGAACGGACATCCTAAGACTCCGGACATTTCTACACATGCTCCATCTCCTTCCTCAATAGCTAATGAAGAATCAGTATGCTAATAGTACCAGTTGCAATTTGACTAAAAGTCTGCCTGTGTCTCCCTCTCAGATGGCTCAGGATTGAATTGAGTGGGGACAGTTTGTTTCTGCCTTATTTGCCTCAAAGCGCGATGAGTATTGATTGATTGATTGTGTCTCCCTCTGTGTTTAATATCTTCTAGAACCCCTCCTGAGTTATCCTGTCAAGATATGAATACTCTCTCTGTCTGGACTTTTCCACTGTCCACTTGATTGCAGAGAACCTTCACTGCTTTATTAAAAAGTAGCTCAACACCCAGAAGAATTGGCAGCAGCCAGTCTATGAGCATGCTTATTACACCTCCTGCATGAAGCCCTAGGTAGAGCTAATTGTCACATTGAAAAGAGGAAGGTCTTGGATGGGACAAGCTAAAGACAAAAGATGAATATGCTGTGGTGAAGTCATAAAGTTGCTGCGGTGAAGTGATGAAGTTGATGTGATAAAGTCGATGTGATGAAGTTGATGTGGTGAAGTGATGAAGTCGATGTGGTTAAGTGATGAAGTCGCTGTGATGAAGTGATAAAGTCCCTGTGGTAAAGTGATAAAAGTCGATGTGACTTCACCACAACTTCATCACTTCAAAGTTAGACACGTGTGCAGGCTTGATAAATTGAGAGGAGTGGGTCAAAGTGTCCCAGCAAGAATCTGACTTGTGTAGGGTTCTAATCAATTTAGGTCGTGATTGCAGGGACAGACCAGAATCAGCTCAACAAATGATTCATGACATTTCCCGCCCAGGTGATGTGATTATTTTACAGATGGCTTTGTCTTGAGAGTCAAACTAAGTGCATGTAGGTTTATAACAAACACGAATGGACGTCGCTTAGTACAGCACAACCTTACATATGATATGTCTGATTTGAGAATGGAGGTGGAGGCAGTCACTGCTGCTTTCCAATGGATTAAGAATCAACTGTAAACAGTTATAATTGTAACTGACTCACAGATTATGTTGCGAAAGGTTGAGACAGGCATGCTCTGTGCAGAGTGGCAAGCATCGGTTCAGAGGTTCCATGTAGTTAGGATCCTTTGGATATTTTCTCCAGGTCATGCTGGTGTGTTGGAAAACAAATTGATTTGATTTGATTTGATTCAAGAACCGACATCACAGCACTTGGGGCATTCCCATAAGGGCTCCGTCCCCATCTTCAGCAGCCAGCGAAGAGTTCCGATACTAATGGTGCCAGTAGCTTTCTGATTTAACGTCCGTCTTGCCTTTCCTCTGAGCCTCGAGCTTCTGCCAGAACCTCTCGTCACCCCCAACTGCATCAATCTCACCAGACTGTGGTGATCCATCTGCTCCTCCGAATTGTACACGCTCTCCCACAAGGCACTAACCACGTCTGCCCTATCATGTAGCAGTAATCCACCAAGTTGTGCAGAGCCAGCCAGTCTGTCCACCTGTTCATTTCCCAACACACCGGCTTGACCCGGTGAAAAAATCCAGACAATACTCCTCACTCGTGTCCTCCGCAGCGAAGCATGCCACTCTGCACGAAGCATACCTGTTCTGATCCTTCTCAGCATGCTTTCTGAATCAGTTACAATTACGATGTGTGTGTGTGTCGTGTTCTTTAGCTAGCGGAAAGCTGCAGTGACCGCCTCCACCTCCATTCTTAAGCTGAATGTTGTGGTATTATATGCTAGGCTCTCCTGCACTAAACGTCGACCATTAACTTGTGCTAAAGCACTTCTTTTGCCTCTTGACACTGAACCGTCTGTGTAAATGGTCAAATCCTCTGAGCGAGCATTTTCTTGAATTAATTGCTGAATTTCCACCTCTGTGGCACCTGCTGGCCGGTCTCTGCATTCCCGGCTCAGCGTGATTATGACTACACAAGTCTGCTC